GAAAAGCAAGACATTATAAATAGGTTTAAAAAAATATGCACAGGAACTATTGGCAGTGTAAACACAAAAAAAGTTGTAACTAGGAAAAGAAATTGCAGCCAAATATTGAACTCAAGTTTTGCTGACCTAAGAATAGGCGAATCTTTGACAAATAAAAACAATATTTCAAGCTCACAAAAACAAAATGCGGAGAAATCGAATAAAACAAAGCACGTAATAAATACCAACGAAAACGTAGACATTGATCTCGCTAGTAAGTCTTCCTCTTCACACCACGATTTCCAGACTTTTAAGAGAGACCACAATGTAAAAATACAGGAAGCTGTGCAAACAAAACCACGTTTGTTAATATTAGGTAGCCAACAGCTAAAAGAACTATCATGTGTCCTATATGATACAAGGAAAAGTCACAGCTACTACGAAAACTACGAAATATCATCTATAATCAAACCATTTGCAGATACTGAAAATATATTGAAGCCATGTCTTAACCTAGAATATAATGAAAATGATCAGATAATTATTTGCATTGGAGAAAATGATAGAAACCCCACCAAGTTATTGAATATATTGTCAAGGGCTATGATGATTTTGGGAAAATGTAATGTAATTGTTATTAATGTTAATCAAAGTAAATACCTTAATGAAAATAAGTTAAATTATGCATTAAGAAATCTAAGTAAAAGGTATAAAAATTGCGAATTTCTATACATGCATGATTCTCAAGATACTTCTAATTCGCAATATTTATTAAACTTATGTAAGAAAATTAATGTTATACTTGATTCGCGTTATTATGATAAACATTTTATTAAATCTATTAAGCTCCATCTTAACCGTAAAAATACAAATAATAGCTTTAAATCAAATTCGCCATCTAGGGGAACTATTCCATATTATTTTAAAAAAATTGAAAAAGAAAACTCTAATCCTTTATTGTATCCTTACGGGGCAGATGTGGTTAATATTGAGAAAAAAGGTACAATTCCATACTATTTTAAAAGAGTCGCAAGACAGGAAAAACGGTAACAAACTCGTCATATGCATTACCTAGGCTCTCTGAGGGTCGATTTTTTCGAGGGGTCACATAGCGTTACCGTTTTTCACCAAAATATAGCGGGTCTTTTAAATAAGTTGGACACTCTAGAGATATGTATAAATGAATTTTCGGAATGTGGCATTGAAATTGATATTATCTGTTTAACTGAGACTTTTGTTAAGTCTGGAAGTGAGACAAATATAACATTAAAAAATTTTACGCTTGCTGACTCGTTTTCAAGAGCAAAAGAGAAGCGTGGTGGTACATGTATTCTCATTAGAAAATCTTTATCATTTAAAAATATTGACATTCATAAAGACATTCCTCTGGAGAAAATATTTGAAATATCCGCTGTTTACATCCCAATATTAAATTGCGTAATATTTTGTATCTATCGGATTCCCAAGAGTGACATTAATATATTATATTTAATAGACTCGAGACATTACTAAATAAATATGTAATAAAATTGAAAAGAAGAGTTATGATAGTGGGAGATCTTAATATTGACATATTAAAACAGAATAAATTGACATTAACTTTTAAGGAACTTATTTTGAATTATAATCTAATGTTTCATATAACCGAACCTACTGGGCAAAATAGCTGTATTGACCATATTATTAGTAATCTGTCAGATTCAAAGGGCTTAACTCATAAAACATATATTTCTGATCATAATACAAGTCAAACTTTTACAATTCCAGTCATAAACAAACAAAAAAACATGTCATACTGGTTTACCACTATTAGAAACTATTCTAATGAAAACATTAAAAAATTTCATGAATGTCTTAACTCTTTAACCTGGTCGGATATTTTGTGTGAGCAAGAGGTAAATAGAGCATTTGACAAGTTTCATGATACATTCTGTCTTTTCTATAATTTGTGTTTTCCAACCGAAACAAAGAAAATAAAAAACCAACATACCGCGCCACGATGGATAACGAAGGGTATAAAGAAATCGTCTCGCTTTAAACGTTATTTAAGATTTCAATGTTATAAGTTTAAAATGCCTGAAATAATTATTAATTATAAAAAGTATAGCTCTATATTAAGACAATGTATTGATAATTCTAAAAAAAAATTTAATCACAAATTTATCGCGAACTGTAAAAATAAATGTAAAGCTACATGGCATATTATAAAGGACAAAGTTGATAACAATGTTTCCTTACGTAACATCGATTCAATTAAATATAATAATCAAACAATTACAGAACCATTGAATATCGCAAAATCGTTTAATGAATACTTCATATCCACTTCAAATAAAAATAATGTATCATCGTCTCTGCCCAGTATGAACAATAATCACAATAACATACAATCGATAAACCCTAGCATCTTTCCCAAACCAGTGAGTGAAAATGAAGTTTTAAAAGTCATACATTCTTTAAATAATACAAAATCTGTAGAATTCGACGGGATATCAACTGAGATAATTAAGGGAACTGGAGATCATATATGTCTAGTATTAAAGCACATATTAAACTTAACATTAATAGACGGAGTATTTCCTGATAGACTGAAACTATCAGTAGTAAAACCTTTATATAAGAAAGGCGATCGGGAAGATATAAGTAATTACCGACCTATTACTCTTTTTCCAATTTTTGCAAAGATTTTTGAAAAAAAATGAAATAATAAAAAAGGAACAAAATGGCTTCCAAAAGGGAAAATCGACTACCTTAGCTGCTTTCAATTTGATCAGTGCTGTTCTTAATTATATAGATAAACGTATACCTGTTTCGGTGACTTTTTGGGATATGATAAAAGCGTTTGATTTTGTAGAGCATAAGACTCTACTAAATAAATGTGAGAAATATGGCATAAGAGGTCCAGCATTAAAATGGCTGCAGAGTTATCTTAAGGATCGTAAGCAACACGTAGAGATAATCCGACTCAATCAAAGTAATTGTTTAACAAGCTATGCATCAGAATCTAAACTCAACAGATACGGTGTACCCTAAAGTAGTATTCTGGAGCCATTGCTTTTCTTGCTCTACATAAATGATCTGCCTTCTGCAATAAGTCATGAGTGTGTTCTCTTTGCTGATGATATTTCAATCATTGTTGCAAACCAACCAAAAAGAAAGGACAATACATACAAAAATTTAATGAGTTCGGCAATGGAAGAAGTTCTTGACTGGTTAAAAAACAATAATTTGACAGCTAATCTATTTAAAACTTAATACATTACATTCACTAATTATAATAACAAAGATAATTTAATATTTAATCTGACGTGCTTTGGTGAAATTATAGAGAAAGTTAAAAAATGTAAATTTCTAGGTTTAATATTAGACGAAAATTTAAATTGGAAAGAACACATTGATAACGTTTGCAATAAGTTGAATAAGTTTGTATTTGCCTTAAAGAAACTGAGGATAAATTCTAGTAAGGAGACTGCTCTTATAGCATACCATGGTTTTGTTGCATCAGTATTAAGGTATGGACTTGTACTTTGGGGCAATTCTGTAGACATAAATAAAGTCTTCATTGTTAAAAAAAAATGTATACGAGCGATATGTGGAGTAGGACCTTTAACATCATGCAGACCTTTGTTTAAAAATTTAAAACTTTTAACTTTGGCAGATATGTATATTTTTCAAATTTGTACTTTCGTGAAAGAAAACTCGCAATTATTTCATAAGCATGGTCACCAATTCTATTCTGTGGTCCGTAAACGTGATCCGACTAAATTAATCATACCACATAGAAAAACTGCATTATGCCATAGGAACTGTCAAATAATGGCAATCAAAATATTTAATAAAATTCCACAAAGTATAAGGGAATTACCATATAAACAATTTAAAACAAATTGCATGCATGGCTGGTATCAAAAAACAATTATACTTTAATGGAATATTTTTGTAGACCTTGACATATTATGACAATTCTTATACTATATAATTTTTTATGTGAAGATTTAATTAATGAACTAATGATAATTGTTAATTGACATTTTATCATCTATTTTTTTTTATTCGAATGTAATTGCAATTTAAAATTCTATGATAAATAAATTCTTATATTTAAAAAAAAACTTGCATGTCGGGTATCCGGCGAAATATGTGAACCTATTTATGACAAATGAACATCCATGTATGTAACCATATTTCAAGCAATAAATATCTTTTTCTTTATCATACTTCTTTTTTCTCTCTATTTATAACGCATTGATCGGGTAATGACATGGTTTTTGTGAATGTCATTACTCCTATTAGAGCTGGTGAGTTTCTTGCTCATTCTTCTTATCAGCCAAAAGACGTCCTGGACGATTGGTAGAGAAAAAAATGTTGGCTTCAAAAGTACTTTTAAGAAGTCTATTTCAATAAAGCTTATTTTAACTTTAACTTTACTTGGCTGCGAACACGTTAAGTTCGACGTTGATTTTACACAATAATACTGATCATAAGTTTCTCTTGCCTGTTCCTTTTGTCAACCAAAAAAAAGTCCTGAAAGTGAAAAATAGTGGTCATTTCCAAAGCACTTTTTTAACTGTTTATTCTCATTATCATACTTAAATCAGTTCACGCCAAATTGTAATGAATTATTCATATAATCCATGCAATTCTCGGTTTATTACTTGGTGAGAAAAAAATACAAAAATATGTCAATAGTTTTTGTGTTAATCTTGTTCAGAAACGGGCAAACTATCTCATAAACTGTTTCTTGAATAATACTATATGATTTTACGATCTTCTTAAAAATATTCCCTCGTCTATTTATTTATATCTTGATTGTTAAATTTTATTTTTAAATATTTTTTAAAATAAAAAATGTCATATATACCTATAGACAAGTCTTTATTTTTATCAAATATTAAAACGTCACATCTATGTACAGTGAACTACTCTTATTTATTTGAGAAACAGCTTAGTACTTAATTGTTTAAAAATCTTCACAGAGTGCTATATTGTTTTTCTCTCTGACCTAAGTGATAAAAATATATAAAATACCATAAAATTTTAGTCAATACAAAAACTGTTTACTGCTTTTTACGGTTAGATAAATACGTAGCTTAATTTATTATTATATACGTAGATAATTCCGAAAATTCAGTAATAAATATATATAACTATTTTTTTTTTCTTCTCCTAAACCAGGGCAAGGCAAAGCGCGACCAATCATTGGAACACCTCAGAGAGCACATTCATAAGTTCTACGTGCCTCTTGGCCGCCAGTTTATGGTGCTATTTCCCGAAGGAGGATTTTTGCATAAGAGAAGAGAAGTTAGTCAAAGGTAACAAATACAGATTATTAACATCGATAAATATTCTTTTAGTGTGACAACTGAATTAGTTTTCGACAGCAAGTCAGCAAGTAAAAGTAATATAACTTCTATATTTTATACTATACGTTTTTAGTAAAAAGATAATTAAACGTTGCAATTAACATTTTTGCATTTGTTTTATGGCCTCCTATTTATGATATTTCACGGCTGCATATGTAGCTTTTGATACACCACTGCACATGTTGTAGTTTATGTCCCGTCTCTGCTTTCGTTGTGCTATCCTAAAAGTAAACATGTTCTTTTAAAATGATTTGGTGGTTGATAACGACATATATTCGCTATACTTTTAATGTCATCGTAAAAGAAACAACAGTAAATAAATATAAATTTAATGATAATAAAACATCTGTATATTATAACTAGAACATAAAGCATTGTGAAAATAAAGACAACTTTATAATGATAAAAAAATAGATTCGGCTTATATTGACTTACTATAGAGTCCAACATTTCAAAATGTACATTATAATTATTATTGTCAATAGGTTTGCTGAGAAGAATAATCTTCCCAAACTAGAGTACGTGTCGCTCCCTAGAGTCGGGGCTTTGAAGGTCATTATGGAGGAAATTGGTCCCCAAAGGAGCTCAGTCGCTGGTTCATCGAAAGAAACAGCAAATAAAGGTTAATTTGTAATATCATTAGATTAATGCTTGATAAAGTTTTAACCTGGAGACATTGTGATGATAGGGTATTAGTGGGTTCGAATTTATAAAGTACTTGAATTAGATTGAAAGTATATTTTTCTATGACGATAATTAAAAACTGTAACAAAAATATTCAAACACTAGCTTTCCGCCAGCGGCTTCGGGATTTGGATACCGATTTATATCAAGGCACGGATATAATTACAATGACAAACTGAATAGTAGACAATGGTTACAATAGAAAAGTTTTAATTTCCTATTCAAACTTGCACCCCCATTTTCATCCCTTTATTTGCCGTTTTTCGGGATAACATATATTCACCGCATAATAATATGATGTAGCTTCCCGTAGGCGAAATAATTTTTAAAATCGGTCCAGTAGTTTTGGAGCCTTTTCGTTGCAAACAAACAATTAAACCATTCCTCTTTATAATATTAGTATAGACTATAAGAAGACGAAATTTAAAATACAATGGTTTATTTTATTATCATGATAATTTGTAGATACTTTTCTTATATTAATTTAGATACTTAAAATATGTCACTATAGCAGATTATGAGAAACTATACGTGTGCAAATAACACAAAATGACATCTGAATTATTACTAATCATGTGTCCTTTGTTAACTCATTAGACCGCAATTTCAACCAAAGCATCGACAATAAGATCATCGACTACAAAATCGGTGATAGCGTGGAGTGGATCCTGGATGTTACCATTGCCTATTCTGAAAGGATTCCACTGCACTTGCAAGACGTGGTGTGCGGCATCAGACCACCTTGCACCACGCACTTACACTATAGACTGTATCCTAGTAGTGAGGTAAGATATAAATAAAACATTATAGTAACATGGATGTCAATTCTCATCGTTGAGTTATAAGAGATTGTTCGGAAAGTGATTTAGTTTTTTCCAACGGAAGATCTAAACCACATAATCGATAAATATACTGATATAGTAACGCTTGTTTGATAAAAAAAGTTTGCTGCTTGCAAATGCTTGTTTTGTTTGGTGCTCGCCCCATGAAAGATTTTGTTGAAATTTGTAAGCAACATTTTCAGCATATTTTGGGTTCTATCTAAACAATGTAAATGTGGATTTATTGAAGTGGATATGATGTGATATATCTGAAGAAAATTAATAATGTGAAAATTGGTTAGCAACTTTTTTTGGATATCACTTGAATCAGTTTTTTTTTCATCAAGGATGTCAAAATTTTATATACACCTGCTCAAAACCGGAAAATCTATCTAAATAATGAATTATTAAAAAGAAAGTATTTAATTTTCACCAAAAAAAAACGAAACAATTTTCCAAACAGCCCAATATATTAATAATATATTTTCTTGCGGAAACAAAATCAAAAGTGACATGAGTTGATATTAAGAACAGACATCCACACTAATATTATTATATTACACGAATAATATCGATGAAAAGGGTGATAGTATCGATTGTGTAAATAAAGTTCAGCATTGATATTAAGACCACAGTACCCTTGATAGTACCAACGACACTAATGGAAGCACAAAAAAACCTGCTAACAAATATGATAATATTTCTCTTGATTAAAATAAGGTGAAAACAAAAGGGATTTGAACTAGAAAATTTGGACAATTCATCAAAATTTTCTAGCTTCATTAGTAAAGCAATAGGTTGGTGTTAGGCTCATGAAGTCTTTGTGTTTTATATTCGTAGAAATTTAACTGGTATTTTTGTTGACTTTTAACAGGTACCTGTAGATTCTGAGGGCATGACCAATTGGCTCTACGACAGGTTCATAGAGAAAGACAAGATGCTCGAAGAGTTTTACCGCACTGGGAAGTTCCCCGCTGGGTCCACTACTAATGTCACTCGACGAGTGAGGCAGGATAATCTCCGGTATCTGATACTGCACATGTTCTTCATGGCATCGACCTTTGTACAGTATCAGATGTTTACCTCCCTCTTAAGTTACTTCTGGTAGCGGCTGTTCAAATTCTGTTGTAATATCAATTTTAGGGTCAATTTGATCCATTACTTGAGGTATGCTTAAATTTTGAAATTCGATGCTGGTAGTGAATTCATTTTATTTTTATATTGTTTGTGTGTGTTTTAATTTTAGCGATATCTTTAGATAGTTCGAAAATTTTTTGAAAATTTTTCAAGACCAACCGACTTGAAAATACACATATTTTTTGTAAATTGCAAGTACCTTTCTAAAAATAGATTGTTTGGAAAATAGGATATTATTTCCTATTGCATTTCATTATATAGGCATGACTATGGAAATTCCAAAACTTAACAAAATCTAGATAATACGATATCCGATATTTGTCATAATCGTATTTTTTTTATTTAGTTAATTGTCTAATACACCTAGTAGTAGATGATTTGCACATTCAAGAAGAAGTGCGTGGTGAAGTACATTTTTTTTATTATTTACTTTTATTTTTAGCATTAGTAATTTACGTTACCTCGTGTTGACATATCGAGTGTTATCGATAGTGTGCTATGGTTTTTTATTTTTGTGATTAATGGCACATTTTTACTGTGAGAGTTTGCAAAGATTCCACACGATCAGTTGGTCATTATTAGGTTGTTTGATTTGACGAGCGCTTCAATTGCACCGTGTGAGGCTTGGATTTAATTAAATTGATTTCATAATTATTTTTTGCAGTTTATTCTAAATCGTGCTGCCCGTAAGCCCGTACTCATGATCATAGCGAGATCTAATACTAAACTAAAGGATAGTTATTTTAGACCGTGCTGGGTATAATCCATGCCCCATACGTGGCACAGCTTCATATGTTAAGTGATTTTTATTTCAACTCGATATTGGTGGTATTGCTTACTAAAAAATATTTAATCGGAGGCATATTTATCATTCCTCTACTTAAAGCACTGAAATTTTCTAACTCGTTTGGAGATGGGAAATGTTACTTAATTGTTTTCCTATTCTAAAATTTTCAGTGGACACATTTTCAGCTTTTTTAGTGTTCCATAATAATTATAACTGGTCGTGTGACAGGCTTTCCTATGAATGTGTTAATCAAAGCGTGCTGTGACATTTAAGTCAGTATGTAAGTATTAGCATAAGTCCTGTACTGTACCGAAAACAATATAAGGTCTCATGACAATAAGAAAATACCAAATTCTTGCTTCAATACTTTTCCACGTTGTGATTCGACAAGTCTTAAAAATTCTCTCCGGAATTCCAGTAAAGATAGATAGATAAATCGTTTATTGAACCACTACTATCACTACATTATAAGTTATTGTAAAATACTTAGTTGGTGTATAGAAACATTAAAAATTACAACAGACAATGATTTATATCACCGTGCTAGAGTGTGAAGCAGTATTCCAATTCAAAGTATAAATTTGAAATTTTCCCATTTGAAGACGTGTCCAAATATGGCGTTGAAATTAAATTCATATAATAATAACTCAGTTTTCATATGTCAATGTTACTTAGTTGAGTCGGGGCCGTAATTGAAATTATTATAATAAATTTCAAACGCCGTTTTTGGACAGTCCAAGGACCCAAATAATCATTCGCTTTATCTAAATTAGAGTAAGACAAACTTAAATAAGAACCTTAATTAGTGAAACTGGTTTTCTTCATAACGTTATGATAAATAGTTCACTATAATTTTCTGGGATATTATGCCAAATTTCACAAGTTTTGTATTGAAACATTTATGACACTGAATATGTCAAAAGATATTTGCCACAAGTGCCTAGGCTTATTCTATTCGATTTAAGGGCTCACCTAATTGTTTAGTTTTGACATATTAATAGTCAGAAATTATTACAATCATAGAACGATTCAATTTAATTAGGTTATAGCTGTAACTATTATATTAATGGTGGTTTTTTATAATAAATCAAGGGCTTACAATTTAGAGAAAATTCAAAAAGAATTGGTGAGGTTACGTTTTTGATCATGAATTATAATTGGTGTTGTATTAAAGTTTTCTTATATCATAAAGAGAAATTAGTCGTCAGCACATCAGATTATCGTAAAAAGCCAAGCTTCACCAATGGATTTTTATCCATATTCTACTGATAGTTTGAAAATATTTAACCTGAAGTGTTGCTATCTGTACAATTATTATATAAAACGCTATGTCTAGAGCAGAAAGATCAGTTAGGTATTGTGACCTATAATTTTATTAGGACCCTTTCTCACTTAAATTGCATGTCAATAGAAGTTACGATTCAATTGAAGGAGTTCGTTTGCTAATTGTTCAGAGACGTGATACATTTCACAATGACATCCGATCCGACCAAGTTCCATGATTTTGTCCAAACTTGTGCCTTTTTCAAATCAAAATAGCGCTTAAATGTGAACAGTAGATTTGAATTTGTAAAGACAATTACCTAATGTCTATTTTGTGTTTGCTTAATTGATTTTCTTGTGTCTTCTCTTTTTTTTATTTTCACATATAGTTGTTTTAGTCGTACTACTGTAAGCTTCTAAGGTCCTTCTCACATGAAACAGACGTGCTTACAAATTTAAATTACGAACGAGTTGCTGCATCGTAACATTACATTCTCAAACTGAATTGCACAAGACGCTGATTGGCTAATCGACATTTATAAAGATAAATTACGAAATATATTCGAAATGGTACCTAGTATGTAAACAATAACTATTTAAGTATATTTTATTGTTTCACAAGAAACGAAACGCAGGCATCCATGACGGAGCATCGTGTTCCCAAAAACTGAACGTCAACGTTTTTGTTACAAGTTTATTGAGACGTGACGTCACGACAATATTATTCACAGGACAATTTAAATTATTGAATAAAATTATATCTTTAAATCATAAATAAATCCGGTAGTTGTTTAATAATCTAACAAAAGTCAAAAAGTTTTTTTTCTAAAAAAGTCAAGTACATGTAGTTCTTTATTTCTCTTTTTTAACCTCACCGCATGCAGCACCATAGTAACCTTGCCTTGTAAATTAATATAGTTTGCCATTTATAATTGTGATCGATGACTAGTCCATCGATTTTGAGTAGCTTCATGTGCGAAGGGTCTTAGCAAACGTGCATTGCAGCCGGGCGATTAAAACGAGTATATGTAAAAAATGCACATAAATTAATTTGTAATATAAAATTCAATTAATCAGATTATTTCAATTCATACAAATACATCATAATATTTTTTTAACGTAATATTGATACAGAAATAGACGCTCATTTAAATTATAGTAAATATGATTTTTTATTTGTTTGATATTATTGCTGTCAGTTTAAAATCATTCATTATCTTTCTAAATTGGTAGTGGTTAAGATACAGAATATATAATGTACTTTTGTATCATCATAAACAGGGATTTAAACTGTAAATGATACTTTGATAACTATATTAATTAATGATTTAGAAATTTTTCCAAAATAAGTCCATGAAATTGTGTGAATAAGTGATATTATTTTATATTTTGCTATATTGTGTTTCTATAGAAGATTTCTATAATAGGTAAAATCACACGTAGAAAATGTTTTTAATTTATAAATATTCTATGTGTAGTGGAAATAATTATACTATTATAGTTTACTTATTTTCATTAAAACCCGACCAATATAGTGTGTTGTGAAACTTGAGATATCTCATTTATCATCAGGCTGCATCGTAGGACTTGGTGATCCAACTCCGATGATGATTGTATAATGAAAATTTTCAATCTTGATTTCGTAATCATAAGATTTAAAACACAATGCACTAGGTTTCCTATTTAGTTACACTCAGAAAACGCAGGCGCGCGGATCGCCCGATGGCGCACTTGATTTCATTAATTCCTAATGACCAGGATATCTCATTCTTTAAAATTTAGCCTCCTTCATAGGTACATACAGCTGCACGTCAGGTTACTACAATATGTCAAATTATTACAATTGAATTTGAACTCCATCCTCAACGTGTAAAGGTTTAAAATAAAGTGGAAAATATTTCCAGTTTTGTATAACCTGACATGCTGTTGACTGAATATCACTGAGCCATATTGTGTTTTACTCTACTATAAAATAGATTTAATAATTTTAAAGTTTGTTTATTATAATGAAATTGTACTGTCATAATGGGTTTGCACATATTATAATTTTAATATCAAATTAATAGAAAATTGTCATCTTTATTCAATAACGGTCATTTTCAGGCATTAGGTTAGGGTGTACTATATTAAAGATTATAGTAACGATTCGTATCGGTGTAATAATTGTGAGCAGTTTAAGTTGTTATTTTATGTTCAGTTAATGAGTTAAGTTTGATTTTTTAGAAGTTAGATTACATGATTTGTGATGCTTTTTAGTCTTAATTTGTGTAATGTTTGTTGTTACAGCGTGTCATATATTCAATTTCAAGTTTCAAATTTCAACTGTCATTGAAAATGCTTAGTTTGCCAATTTTGCGTGTATCAATACAATCAAACTTTTGTAGAACCGATTAATTGAACCATGCATAACACTAATGCCGGTGGCGTGGTTTCGTGCATGTTCTACAAATAAAACCTGTATTACCTACAAACTTTTTAATGTATCATTGTCGGATCTAAGTACCAATATCTTGCCTATAATTTTTACCCAAATGTCAAGAGATAAAGAGCCGAAAATTGGACTACAGTCTATAAAACGAATAAATTTTTGAGTTCAACTATTTGTGTAGACAGAGGCGTTGGTTACGGCCGCGCTTATATCTGGCTCACTTAATATCATGTAAAAGTAGTTCAAATAAGTCAATTCGTAACCCAATGAGTAATACTGTGAATAAGCTTATCAATGGTTACTGTAATTGGCGTAAATATATCTATATTAGCGTTGTTGATAAATTGTAAGTGATGAATTGTAAGCGGTGTAAATAACGATTTTGAGTCCTTCTAATGAGTGAGATGAATTATTGTAAGTACAGCATAATTATTAGTCAGTGTGACCTAATCGTTAAGCATTGCAGCATTTCAAATGCTAGTAGGTATATGCGTAATATTAAAAAGCTCGTGTGTTACCTTTTGCAATTTATTAATTTTAACTACACTTATATGTCCCTGTTTCATGGAATCATCCGACATGTGGGTCTGCTTTGCATATATCAAATTTACTATTATTATTTTAAGAATAATAGAGTATAAGAATTTATAAACCTTATCGCCTAACGAAAATTGCTGTTTTTTGACAGCTGATTTTTGTGATTACGTTGCTATAAAAGATATGAGATACATAATAACTTGATTATATTGTCACCCATCGATTGTAGCTGAAATTTTTACGACTCAGTACTTAGAGAGTAAGTCAGTCAAATTTGGTGACATCTAGGTTAATTTTCTTGGTGTTCCTTTTCCTCACTACTAGTAAAATCCAAAATAATGTCATAGACCTTTTTTCTTACTACAGGTATGAAATTTCATAGCCCTGCTGGAATTACTCATATGAATTTATTCTAGCAATTATCTTACATCAGTGTAACGTCGAGATGAATTTGACAGATCCGCTACGTGGCTGAACCCATTGCCAGAACAGACTTAGGTACAATTTCGTCTTTTCGTTCTGGCTATTCATAAATATATTTGTCAGTGTTAATAGCTAATGCTACGTAAATGGATATAATGGCCCCGACTCTTAAATATGACGAATTTTTCTAGTAGTACACGAGCCCAACTACCGAATTGTTGTATGTTTTATTAGGGTTAATGATTTTGTAATATGAATTTTAATGGTCTTTTCATATTGGATTCTAATAATTCTTGATTTAATTCAAGCTACTTTTTATGGATATTACTATAGTGATAATTTATTATAACTTCATTAATAACATGAACATTATAGATTTGATGTGAATAGGCCTTTAAAATTTTAGCTACTATGGGTAGAATTAGTACTCCAATGAATGAATACTAAGGCGTAAATACTATAAGATTTATTGTTTATTTTTGTATGTTATCTGTCACGATAGAACCTTTTTAAGGCAAGAAATTGAGTGGCACACAGTGAGGTGTTTACATCATACTCTCATATCTATAGTCGAGCGAAGTATACTGATTTTAATATCGAGAGTTATTTAAAGTAATGAAATGAATATATGCAATATATAATCGGACAAATGGGAGACTGATGTTCTCTCTTTCTAGTTGACTGATTTCTCAAGAATCAAGTTTGGCTTACATACTCTATTATAGTAGCTCTACGGTTTACATCCATCTTTAGCTTCCTTGATGAACATTATTCTTTCGGCATATGCATGTCAGATTTTGTGACATCATCCAATGACACACGGACATCTTTATCATGAAAGGTAGCCTTCCTCGACATCTACATTCAAAAATATATTTTTTTTTTATAATAAAGAACTTTCGTTCATTCATTCATTGGAGATCTTACTTAACTTTCTTTTCCTCAATAATACTAGTTTTATTTGATAAATAATTTCACAATAAACTCTTACACTAAGCACTATTAATAATTATTGACATATTATCTGTAATATGTTTATTAAATGAGCGATGCGTTACCTTTTGTTTATACTACCTATATTCGTTATGAGTACATTGTATAGAAAACTAAAACATAATATTATAACATAATTTCGAAACGCAACGCTCATTTACTAAGGTTTCTAAAAGACGGTGAGATATTTGAAGACTTTTTTTTTGCAAGAGAAAATGTAACACTAATGCATGAAATATATTATTTGTATTTCACATACGATGCGTGTATAGTGAATGTTGGTTCGTGTTCCGTGTTCCTGGCAGTCTACTTCATAAATAGAAAGTACTGAAACTCACCCCCATTCACATGGCATTGTCCTGTATATTTTCTAGACTCTTTTTGTAACATACGTTTTAACTTTTGTGCACAAAATTATACAAAATTTGTACGTGTAAACGGTTTTATATAAGGTGTAAGATTATTATGTGTCAGGATATCGTGTGGCGAATTAGTTAAATATATTAAACAACTATACTAAACATAAATACTAAACAGTGCTTACAATAAGCATTACAATTTTGTACGAAACAGCTGTTTATTTTTTCGTGAAGTAAGTGTTGCTATTCTAGCAAAATTTATTCAGTGTATTTAAGTCATCCACCACACGAAGTCCTGGCGTACAATAATATTACACCATATATATAATATATGTGCCATTAATTATCCTTTAAAACGTATAAACGTAAAAAAGGTGCAACTATGCAATTCTGTAATAGATCCTCAAACGAAGTTAAGCGTAACGCGTTCACAGTAGCGTCTATGCTATTCAATGAAATAAAATTTATATGGTCGATTGAAATAGATGTTATTTGATCGAACCTCTTTGCTGTGACGGTGTTTTTCTCGACGTCAACTTCGAAGATGATTTTATTACAGAATAGTACTGCGGAATAATGTTGTGTCACAGAATTTATTCTGTGGTTGAGTGAAGGGGATACGCTAGCGTAAAAGAAGCG